CAAAGCTCCAAAACTCGAGTTATGGGCTAAAAATTGTGATGTCACAACCATTCCATCAAGACTTAGGAATTCAACTTTGGAGCCAAATTGCTCATTCGAACCAACCTAGTTTAGACTAAAGCCCTTCAAAAGAAATTTGTAGATATGATTCTGAAATATTTCATGGACTTAGGTTTGTATCAATTAAATGTCCGAAACTTGAGATATTAAATAAAACCTTATTTCAATCTCCAACTAGAATTTGGATCAATTCTCTAGACCGGACTATGAAACATTATTTGGAGACCCAAAAGAACTTCGATTTTTACCCACAATATCAATTTAGAAAGCTTGAGACATCCTCTATAAAAAGCTCTAAAGAACACTTCTTCTAATTCTATCAACAAGGCTACAAAAAACCTACAAGAGGCCCGAAAAGTGTAAGTCAAACATGTTGGAATTTCCTAATTTAAGCACAATTATTTTCAATTCTAAATTTATGCTTTATACATAAATATGAGCATTAAATATTATAATAAGACATAAAACATAGCAAATAAACTAAATATAAGGATAATAAAAATATAATATAATACATCTATCACCAATGATCATCTATGTGAAAGACTACGTCTTCTTTTTAGTCTCTAAATCACTTCATTTAGGATTGATTAAAAAAAATCCAATAATCAATTCATTAATCGAAAGAAAAGAAGGCATATAAATTGACTTTGCATAAAGAAATTTCTATATGTTAAGATTAAGTGGTAACCTCATTAGGAGGATGCATTAGGGTGATTATAGTCTTTTCTAGTTTTGCAACCAACCTCTTTTATCCAAAACTCTTAAGACCAACTTGCTAGGTTTTTTTTGTTTTTTTTTGTTTTGTTTTGTTTTGTTTTTTTTTTTTTTTTTTTTTTTTTTTTTTACCTTAGAAAAATTGAATGGCGACTCCATACTTTGAACATATATTTATTTTTACAATTTTCGAGAGGTCATAATGTGATAGATAAGTTTATGTGAAAAATGATTTTGTGACGTCAATGTTGTATTTTTTTACAAAATCTTGTATTTTCATGCATTTCCTAAAAAAAAAACCCCGTGTTTTCATATATTTTGACAAAGCTGTGTTTTTCTATATTTTGAAAAATTCATATGTTTTCACATATTTTTACAAAATTGTGTGTTTTATGTATTTTGAAAATTGTGTTTTTATTTATTTTACAAAACCACGTGTTTTCATACATTTTTACCAAACTCGTGTGTTTTTATGTACTTTTACAAAATCGAGTGTTTTTACATATTTTTACAAAACCTTGTGTTTTCATGCATTTTTTACAAACCATGTGTTTTTACATTTTTTTTACAAAATTGTGTACTTTCTCATATTTTTACGAAGCCGTGTGTTTTCACATATTTTTATTAAAGTCATGGTCATTCATGCCATGCATTTTAATCAAAATCATGTCCTTTTCATCTCATTTTTGTTTTTTATTTTTAGTTCAATACTCGTGTGTCTCGAGTGTGAAGATAAGGCATTCGACCAATCAAGTCTCGAATCACTCGATCAGTTAATTGGTTTCTAATTCAGTAACAACCACATTCAAATAAGCATAGGCTTTCATTATAATTAAAATTAAAAATTGTATTTTGATTTGCATGCGATGCGGTTTGTCTTAAGCAAAACGAAGTTGAGTTATTTTTATCTTCTCTACACATAACTAACTTTTTATATAAAAGTTACGAACAGACTAATCATTTGAATTTCTAGTGATCTTTAATACTAGATAATTTTTTTTTTCATTTTCCTATTTTTAAGCTCGCCGTTTTCCATATCTACATGTGACAAAGAGTTTAGCTGCAATACATGTATTTACTTGTAGGTTTTTCTTATTGGATCTCTTTTATAATAAAAATGACGACGACGACGGACTGACATTAAAAATTCATGTTTGCATGTGCAACAATAAGTGGTTAAATTGCCTGCAATACATGAGTCCTTGTATAGAATTCAGGATCATTTTGTTGTTGGATCTTTGTGTGTTATAATTAAACTTGGGCTAATCATGTCTTTCATCAAGCTTTTTTCATGAATTAAATTTATGTGAGCTAATTAGTTATAACATCCCAAAGGATAATATAAGCAACTTGAATTTAAACTTCTAACTTGAAACTATTATCCTTTTTTACTTTGCAGTTGACCTACAAACTATTAGCACTTATGCAATCCAAATTGAAGGTTTTTTTTTAATCAATTAGTTGTTGCTATAATGCTAACAGATCTACTAATTAAAAAAATAGATTAGGCACAAACCATTTAATCATTTCTAGATGTATGCATAAAAAATAAATAAGAATCTCTTTCTAGAGAGAATCTGATCTAAACGGGGGGAAAAAAAGGAAAAAGGAAAAAGAAAAGGCCAATGATCAATAGTATCGATCAATTTCAATAATGAAGTCGTACCTTAGAGCGGCATCTTTTCACATGGCCATTGAATTCCTGGTTTGTGCAAAGGAAACCCTCTCTGCAGCCATTTCAGAAGTAGGTCCTTTTAAATACCATTGACTCCCATTTCCAAATATTTTTTATCGTTTTTTTTTCTCATTTAATCAAAAGAGAAATATATATATATTTATTGTCAAGTGAGAAAAAAAAATTATGGCTAAGTTTGAATTATTGTTTAGTGAAATGGATGAACTTGTATATATACATTAATAAGATCGTAATTACTTGGAATATTGAGGGATAATTTTGTCACATAAAAATAAAAATTAATAGCTAATCATGTCAATATAATCGGCTTTTAAAAGATGTAGGTATTTAAGAAAATTGATTTGAATGGAAGTGATTTTAATTGTTTTAACAAGTGGTTTAAGATTTGAATTTTTTGTATATGTAAAAAATTTATTAAATAATTGTATTCGTCGTATGTATTTTATTGAAAAATAAAAAATTAATTTGAGTTTTTGAAATTGGGATATCTTGAGGATATAAAAAGAGAAGGTAATGTTCTTGCTCTTAAAAGTCGAAGCTTCTAAGTGATTACGGTTTTCAAAAGTTGAAAATAAGAAATGTAAGCTTGATTTTTTATTTTACCAAGCACTTGCGTGTCTTTCTGAAAATTAAAGCACAACAGTAATGCCTTGATTTTCAGCAATGCCAAACAGAGCATTGGCCTCATACTGAACCATAATCTTTATTTCTATTCTCAATTTTAATTTTCAAGAAGTTAATAGAAAAATAATTCTTAATCAATTACTTTCTCCAAATAATATATTTACTAAAATATTGGTAAATTGATAATCGACCCTTTCCAATATAAAAATATACTGGAAAATTAGAAATATTGCTAGCATATATAAAGAATACTAGACATTAGAAATAAAATAATTTCTACATCAATTTTTTAAACTAGAAATTCAAATATATATTATAGTGTTATTCATTTATCCCTTGCTTTTGAAGGATTGCCATCTTCATTTTTGCTTATAAGAGGAAAAAAAAAGGAAGTTTACAATTGCCACCAAATGATTTGTATCTTACCAAATCATGTGGATTGTCGGGGAACAAAGAGATATGGGAAGACAGAGGACGAGAGAAAGAGGGAACGAGAAATAACATGGAAAAATTTAGGAACGAATGTACACGTGGGCTTGCGTTTGTTTTTTTTTCCTTTCAATTTTGGATCTGTCGCCTTGAATACAATGGCATTTGAAATGCTATATCTGGTTTTAAAATTGCATTTTATTTTTTAAAGTTTGTTAAATTCAGAAGTTCTTCGGTATCGCCCTCTAAAAGTGAAGGTATAACTTTACAAATTAAAAGTCCTAATCAAACAAAAATATTCTTAAACTAAAGCTGTGGAGAAGCATATCTTTAATTTTTTTGCCTACATCTTCTGATTCAATAAAATAGAATGAGATGCACATGGATTAGCAAAACATTAATTTGTCAGGTCAATATTTGGAAGACGACGAGTACTTTTTATAACCTCTTCAGGTTTAGTTTTTTCCCGTTTCCACACCCAAAGCCTGGAAACCCTATTCTGGAGCCTTTTGGTTTTTCCATTAATTTTTTTATAATTTTTTGTACATTGGTTTTCCATTAATAGTTTATAAATTTTGTATTTTAATGCATGAAAATATATATATATATATAAAACTTTAGTATATAATTTTTTATCATATAAATTCCGTTTTTTGTTTTTGAGAAATTTAACACAGAATATGTGTGCTTTTTAAGAATTTCGATATAAATACACTTTCAACCACACCTTAATCAAACACTTATATATATATATTTTTTTTCCTTCTTAGCGCTTCAGGTTGCTGAAGCAAACTTGCACCTGAATACTTCTTTAACCAGCCTTGTGAGTTTTATTTGTAAATTTTAGTTTTGAAGGCTGAAAAAAAGAAAAAAACGTCATTAAAATATAGGAGGATCACGAAAAGTTATATTGACCTTTTTGGCCGTGACATCAGCGCTTTCAGATTCTTTTTATAGCTATCATTTGTTTGAAGAGTAGCTAGGATTTGACATTATGGTTTTGGTTGTTAGCATGCCGAGGAGTTTTCCAGTTTAATATTTTATTGATAATTTCCGTTAATACAGTATCTAGCTAATACTATTAACTAATCAATAACCAATTTTTTAACAGCTAGCTGTGGACCGTTTTAGCCTTGTGTATTGGTAAATCGAATATTAGGGGCAAGGTTAATCTCGTCCAGACCCAATTTCGGATGGGATTGTGGACTTCAACAATAGTGTTGGATTGCGTTACTTTGAGCATTTTGCACTATCAGAATAAAATGGGAAGAAATAGATCCCAATTTCCCAAATATATTTTAGGAATCCAAAGAGAACAAGTTTTAGAAGTAAACTCCTTTTTTTCCTGGTTTACCTGGAAGCTCGGAAATATAACATATTAAAAAGCGTACTGAATTAGTCAGTGAGAGAGAGAGAGAGAGGAGAGAAGGAAGCGAGAGGGCCAACGGAAGCAGCAGAAGAGATCCGGAAAGCTATGGCGGTTGCAGAGGAAGCTGGAGGAGAAAACTTGAGCTCTCATGTTCTTCCATCTTCATCCCTTACCCTCGATACCTCTCTTTCCCTACCTGATTTGACTCCTCCTCTCATGTTCGTTTCGTTTTCTTCTTCTTTTCTTTCTTTTTTTTGGTTCTAAGAAGTAAGAAAAAGAACTATTCGTTTTTTTTCCTCAATAACAGAGAGCTGTGCAAGGATTTGTTCAAGAAATGGTCAAAACTGGATGATTCTTGCTTCTCTGTCGAGACTGTTTCTGGTGGCATAACAAATCTCTGTGAGTATTATTATTATTTTCTTTGATATTTGCTCCTTCTACCGCCTCTTTGCGCTAAAAAAACAAGCTATTTCCAGACCTAATTGAGAATTTGTGCAGTGCTGAAGGTATCTGTGAAGGAAGAAAATGAAAATGAGGTGTCTGTAACTGTCAGATTATATGGTCCTAACACCGATTATGTTATCAATCGAGAACGCGAGCTTCAGGTGATTTTCTATACGCTAATTTATTGAACAAGAATCGAAGCTTTAATTTTCTCTGGTGTATCATTTTTTGTAGTTGCTTACAACAAAAATTGTGTTCAGGCTATCAAATACCTCTCGGCTGCAGGATTTGGTGCCAAGTTGCTTGGAGTATTTGGAAATGGCATGGTCCAATCTTTTATAAATGCACGAACACTGACTCCGCAAGGTAATGATGACAACACTCGCTTACTATTCTATGTTTTTATTTAGTGTTTAGTTTTTTTTTTAAGATTGGTAACTGTTCAAACAAAATTGTTGTATAGATAGTGGTTATGCTTCAAGTCTTGATTGTTCCGTCTATTAGCCATTGATCATTTCACAAGTCTTTGAAGCTCGAGGTGTAATATTTATGGTTCCCACTGCAAGTTCTTTTGTTGCCCTTTTTGTTGAATAGGGAGTGGTTATGCTTTAAATCTTTAGTAGTGTATACCTCCAACACGATTAATCTGTCTCAATGTTTGATCTATTTCATCAAATTTCTTGGCATTTATTTCTTGAAGACTTGCTTTTCCTTTGGACTATCGTGATTAACTTCAAATTTTCCTAATCAACTCTATAGTTATCAACACATCTACCATAATTTTATTTTTCACAGGCCATTGACTTAAATGATAACTTGATTAAAACACTGAAAAATTGAGTTTATGAAGTTTCTTGGTGGTTTGCACCAGCTTAATGATGTAATTTTAGCCTTTCTTTCCTCTTTTGTCTCTTCCTTGTTTTTTTCCTTCTCTCTCTCTATCTCTCGATTTTGCTAATCTTGCATCCTTATCAATTGCAGACATGAGAGACCCAAAGCTGGCTGCTGAAATTGCCAAGCAACTTCATGAATTCCATAAAGTGGATATTCCAGGTTCTAAAGAACCTCAGTTGTGGAATGAAATCTTCAAGTTCTATGAAAATGGTATATTTTCTGACTATGTATTACTTCCTTGATTTATGTTTCATAAGCATCTAGCTATTATATCTGAAATCGATTTGGTTTCAACTTTTATCAGTTCAACTAGCAGATATACTTGAATGTTGTTTTACTAGTCATGTCCATTAGTTGTTAATGTTTCATGTCCAATTGCCACTTTTTGTTGCAGCATCCATTCTTCATTTTGATGACATTGAGAAGCAAAAGAAATATGAGACAATTTTGTTCAAGGAGGTTTACAATGAAGTTGTAGAAATCAAGGTGATCCTTCATTTGTAAATTTTCTTGCTTGTAATTGGTATCTTGTTCCATCATTTTCCTGTGAAGTTCTTAGGCTTAGAGGCTAGCTTTTTGTATTTGCACCTTGCATGAAACATACTTTTTAAGTTTCCTAATATGTTGCCCTATGTTGTTAACTTACATTTGAAAGTTCAAGATCTTTTTAGTTTAGATATTTTATAGGTATGACAACAACTTATATGAAAATTGAGTACATATGAATAAAATGCACCGTTGCCGACTTTAAGATAGTAAATGCTTGATAACTGTTGAAGATGCTTTAATGGATGACTTCCAAGACCCCTATTTACTTTCACATGATATTTTGAAACTGAACCATTAACAGTCCTGTGATAGGATAAGTATAATAAATGCCAGATGTTCCTTGTAGTTCTTAGTAATACATCTATATATGTGGACTTAAATTGGTAGATGGTATCAGGTACGAGGCAGAAGACATGGTATTCGCTTGGCCTTCCTTAGTTTTCCTTCTTTTTTTCCTTTATCTGGCAATGGCTATATTTACTAATGTTCCATAATCACAGATGAGTTCATAAAATTGAACTTCTTGTTGATGATTTACCAGTCTTGGCTTTGGAACTTCTATCCATCATTGTACACTGGTTTTCAGTTGATCATTTGCAAGATTTAAAGTGATTCCTTCCTACTTATGGAGGTCTATCTCATGATAATTGGACAGGAATTGACAGGCCTTCTCAATGCTCCAGTGGTTTTTGCCCATAATGATCTGCTTTCAGGGAATCTGATGCTTAATGATGACGAAGGTATCAATGATAACTGAATTTTACTACGCACATTCCTCTTTTCCCCCTTTGTTTGTTCTAACAGTGTGGCAGCATGTTATTCTTGGTATAGATATTCTCCTTTGTTGGGTTTTGTCTTTGGATAGGCATTATTTTTTATAATCTTTCTATATCTCAATGGGTATTATTTATGCTTTTTCTGATGGATGCCAGTAGTAAACACGTCTGGTAAAAGTTACTGATACCAAGGTGACAATGGTATCCTATCTTGTAGTTGTATACATGGAGAAGTCATTCTTGATTGGTCTTTCAAGAATCACAGTATTGAACAGGGCCATTGAAAATGAATTTTTAATCTGCTATTGAATCTAAGCTACATCAAGTGATGCAGGACAACCTTGAAGCTGTTAAAATTTAGTGTTTTAGGTGGGAGTTCGAGTTAGAGCATGTGGAATTGAATTGGTTATCCAGAAGATTTGAGGGTCAAAGTAGTGCTGTGAATAGTAACCAAAATCAAGCAAGGAAGAAGATGGAAACAGCACTAGAGAAAAGAGAAGAAACACTCTAGGCATGCAGCCTTCGAACGAAGCCAAGATACTTGTAGTTCTATTATCAAAATGCTTATGGTTAAATAAATTATGTGTTCCTTTTATACGCGCTAAAAAGCCTAGTAGTTCGAATCTAATTAAGAAGTAGAAAACCAAATAGGCAAAGGAAATGATAAATAATGGAAGAACTTCAGAAGGAAAAGGTTTGTTAGAGGTTGATGTTACTAACTGCATAGGTTATTATTGAATTTTCTTGTTAGGACTGTTACACGAGTGTCCGATGACAAGGATTTCAATTGGATTATAAGAATTCATTGTGGTTTGACTTGTTATTTTGAATTTTCTATTATTTAAAATTGTTACAACATTTGTGTGCCTCTGCCATCTGCCATCATTGTAGCTTCCAAGTTGTCCAAAATGTTAAAGGCAAACAGTCGGTGAAAATGTGGCAAGATTTCCTGTGATGGTGCCTGATGTGCTTACAGGAAATTGTGCCAGAAGATTGTTTTGATTTGCTGATATTGTTTTCCTTAGGCTTGTCCTATTGATCTCATTTTTTATCTTATTAATTTTCAGATAAACTTTACATCATTGATTTTGAGTATGGATCATACAGTTACAGAGGTTTTGACATCGGAAATCACTTCAATGAATATGCAGGCTATGATTGTGACTACAACTTGTACGTCTTCATTTTTTTCCTACTTGCTTTCTCCATTTTCAATGGTATGTGTAGATGTGTTGATAATTCAACTCTTTAAATGTAGATACCCAAGTAAGGATGAGCAATATCATTTCTTCAGGCATTATTTACAACCTGATAAACCGCATGAGGTATGTTGGTTGTTTGAGAATTTTATTTTCATGGATATGTAAGTGGCATTTCTAGTTTGAATATAACATTAAAAACTTACTAATTCTGAATTATTGATTTTTGTGCCTTACCTTCGAATCCTGAATGAGTTAGGTGTGCTCATCATCTTGGAAATTGACTAATGGAATTGAATTCCTTACTCTGCAAGCATAGAAACTCAAACATGATGTCTTTATAAGAAGTTTTGGTTTTGTTCTGTCATCCTCAGATGCACTGTAAAAAGAAGTGGAGCCTCCTTTGTGGCAATCTTCTGACATTTGGTGCCATCTTCAGTTATTTGATCTATGCTAAGTTGCTCACAGTACTGCCATCTCTAAGATGCCAGAGAAAGTGTAAAATGAAAACATAAAAAAAAAAAAAGTCCCTAAATAATCATATGTTAAATCCCAATGTAGCCTTTCTTCATTTTCTATTATTCTTCGTTTAGATATTTTGGGTGTTTCCTTTATGCCTTGCTCTGCTTTCTGATATTTCACTGGTAGCACCATTGATGGCTAATCTTTGTTTTTTTATGAATTAATTTAGCTCTTCCTCATATGATTTTGCTAGAAACTTCATCTACTTTCCTTTCTGACACATTGTAGATGATGCTTGTTTGCGTCAATTATAATTTGTCAAATGAGTCAGTTCAGGAAGTTGAATTTTATTGATTCTGAAGTTCACTTATTGCTTTGATCCTGAATCTTGGATCTTCATTAGCAGTTCCTACTTCCTTGGCTAGACGAGCCTGATAGCGGGGTCTTGATACACCTTACCCTATAAAGCTATTCAACCTGCATGCTTCTGTTATTTTTATGCCTCTTTTGATTTCAAGGCACTACAATTGGTTATTCTTTCCAATAGGTATCTGACAAAGACCATGAATTCCTACAGGTATCAGACAAAGACCTTGAAGCTCTATACATAGAGACAAATACATTCATGTTAGCTTCGCACTTATTTTGGGCATTATGGGCACTGATCCAGGTAATAGTGACCCTTTTGCTCTACCATTGAAGCCCATTAAACCAGATGATAGTGGTTGATTATGTCTCTCTTAACAGGCAAAGATGTCTCCAATAGATTTTGATTACTTGGGTTATTTCTTCCTGCGATACAATGAATTCAAAAGGCAGAAGGAAAAATCATGTTCATTGGCACGATCTTACCTCGCAGGACGAGAGAGTGGGTAGTTTCTATTTTTCCCGCCCATGCATTGCCAACACTTTTCTTATGGATTCATAGACATTCTTGTAAATTCTTTTGTTTTTTCTTAGCCATTTATTTGAAAGAAAAGTTAAAAACGATTATACACAAATAATTGAAAGGTAGGAGTACCTTAGTTCCATTTGTTGCAATTCTTAGTCTTAGTGCATTTCTTCAACATACACCTTGTTGTCCATTTCCTTAAGATCCATACAGTAAACAATTTTGAGTAATTTTCCTGCTGACATTCAGTTTAAAGTACCAAAGAAATATCAGTTGGTTGAAATATATGTCAATTGTTCTTGTTCTTTTTTTTTTCCTGTATTTTTTCTGCTTGTTGAAAATTGCTTATGACCCATAATTGTGCTAGGCTTCAAAGTTGCACATCTTTGAACTAAGTCGAACCTAGTGAGCTGGTGTTTGTCACTTCTAGGCACTGCTAGGCTTTCTTTCTTGTTTTGCTGTTGGGCTTCATCATTTATATCATAGAGATTACTGAGGTGAACGATTTTGTGAACAGCTGGTCCTCTGACAGGTGACAATCAATTTTGTGCTTTAGATGACTCAGTATATTTATTCTTTGAATGAAAATATATTGGAAGCTCATATCTATTTAATAGAGTTTTTTGTAGCTCAAAACTTTGGTATGTTAAGCATTATTCAATTCCTTCCAACTGGTTTATGGGAGTCCAATTGGGTCAGTAAAAACTGAGTCTCTATTAAAAAAATTCATGTCATTGGAGAAATTCCGCGATCATTATGTTCATAACGCCTTTGCGGATTGCTATAGCTCTTGCCAAACCGAATGGTGATGTCAGGATGTTCTTGGTTGAGGAGTTACTGAAGTCTCACAAGTTTTCACTGTGATTATATTTTAGGCTAGTGTAGGCTGTAATGCTGTATAGCAGATATCCTCTGTAGCTCAGGCTTCACTGGGTAATGTTTTCAACTCCATGGGCTTCCAAACTCTATGTTGATGAATTGGGAGACCATTCTTCTTATTATTTTCTGGCAGGATCTCTTCAAATTACAAATTTATAAGGTGGGTCATTGCATCTTCCAACTAACCATCCTCACCATCCTCGGAAGTGATTGATAAACACTAGTTATGCAAAGAAACAAACTCGAGATCGATGTTTGGAGATGCGTACTCCTTCCCACTGGTATCGATGGATTTTCTATTTGATTGGTAGCACATACCAACTTTTATACTTCAATATTGTACAGTTATCCTCTTCTGTTAAACGCTCCCTACTTACAAGAGGCTATATAAAGAATGTCTTGCAAGGCAGAGAGGCAGTGCTTAAATGACATCACATATGCATGATTGGCGCCGAGTTACCTTATACTTGAATATGGAAATCATTAATTATTGGATGTTCTTATATTATTGAGAATTTGTTGAACTTCTATGCAAAAAGGAACTTGCTAGAGTAATTTATTCCTTTTGTCATTCTCTTGTAATTAAGTCAAGGATTAAGAAAGGAAAAAAAATGGTGTAAGACTGTTGCGATATGGTTAGTCAATGAGGTTGTACTGGTTGTAGGAAAGTAAGATGCTGCATGTTGAACTGACCTACACAACGAAGCATAGGATTATTGAATGATAAGATTAGTCGAAATTGTTTGAAATGGATCGAACCCAGAATACCTGTTAATTCAACGATGGAAAGTGGTGATACATTGATAATCATAGCGGTAAAAGGACAAAGGGGAAGAGAGATGACACAGATTGTTCAAGTTCAACTTACAGCAAGGATTTGTCAAGCAAGTGGGGGTAATGTTTCTGGTTGACCCGCATGAGCTCAAAATATGGCTGCTTTGTCAATACCAACTAACCTCAGTTTCACCAATATAATGATGCTGCTTGGTATGGAGAAAGAAGCTTTGCCAGCTTTATGTACTGCGAGACACAAACACACAATTGGCTGTAAGTGCTAATCTGCTGAATATCAGATCATGGCATGCTTGGAATACGACATCAACTTCCTGTAGTAAACCAGGAAATACCCTCGATGGTAATTTAGGCTTTTCTGATATGAGGTTTTGACCATAAAGTTGAAGGTCATTCTTAATCTGCTTTGAAAATTCGTCGAGATGTTTTGTTTGCATTTGCACTGTTCCCCTATGGCGGCGTCCAACTTTCTTTTGAATGTATGACAAATATTTTGCTATTTCTGTCATCCACCCACTCCCTAGTTTTCTATATATTCAGAACATCCAATTTCTTTGCATTTGATTGGCTAACATTAACGTACCACTTATTTTGTCTATCATTTTGACCCTTCCTCTTCTGATACAGAGATATTTTTTGTTACCTCTGTTCCTTACTGCGGTCAAATGATTTACTTGTGGGGACAGCCTGAGTACACTTTGGACAGCGCCCGGGCCCACCTGGCCTTTTGCTGATGGCTTACGCAACATCTGCCCATCGATTGTGCCATGCTAGTGGGACATTCAAAGTTTATGGGCGTTCGCTAGTCTAGAAGGAAGAAGAGAGACTTGAAGACTGGTCCACGTACAGGCAGTCAGCAGAAAAATCTAGGAAATGGGAAGTACGAACGAAAAGGGTCATAGAGACATCTTGAACATGCAGATGAATAAAGTCCGCAAATTTTCCCTCATCTCCTAACTGGCCAAATTGATTTTATTCTGGCCTTCATCTCTCTAACTAGTGAAGCATTTTAACGAGTGAAGTGGGAGTCTTTCTGTGTAGGGAGAAACCATTTACCATCCACCGGAATCGTAAACAAACTCCTATACTCTTGTTCTCCATGGCTTCCCAATCCCACCAACTCCACTTTGTCTTGTTTCCCTTCATGGCTCAAGGCCACATGATTCCTATGATTGATATCGCCAAAATGCTAGCACAACATGGTGTCATCGTCACCATAGTCACCACACAGCTTAATGCAAAGCGTGTTGCCGCCCCTCTTGCTCGTGCTGTAGAATCTGGGCTCCAGATAAAGTCTGTTGAAATTCAGTTTCCGTGGCAAGAAGCAGGATTGCCGTATGAGTCTGAGAATTTTGACATGCTGCCTTCACTAGGCTTAGGCTATGGGATTTTCGCTGCAGCCAATATGGTACAAGAGCCGGTAGAAAGATTGTTTGAAGTGCTAACACCAAGACCGACTTGCATAATCTCGGATATATGCCTTCCGTACACAAGTAATGTGGCTACCAAGTTCGGTATTCCAAGAATCTCTTTCAGTGGGTTTTCTTGCTTTTGTACGCTGTGTTTGCACAACATACAAATTAGCAATGTTCTTCAGAGTGTAAACTCTGAATCAGAGCTCTTTGTTGTGCCTGGACTGCCTGATCATATTGAATTGGCTCCAAACCACCTTCCGTCTGCCATGGTAGATACGAAAACCTTTCCTGCTCAAGTTGCAGATGCTGAAATGCTGAAACATGGGTTTATTATCAATTCATTTGAAGAGTTGGAGCCAGCATACGTCCATGAATACAAAAGGGCAGTAGGAGAGAAAGTTTGGTGCATCGGTCCAGTTTCCTTATGCAACAAAGACGACGTAGACAAAGTTCAGAGAGGTAACAAGTCCTCAATTGATGAATCTAAATGCTTGAAGTGGCTTGATTCACAGCAACCAAGGTCTGTAATATACGTTTGTCTTGGTAGTCTTTGTAATCTAACAACCTCACAGCTGATAGAGCTCGGATTGGGCTTGGAAGCATCGAACAAACCATTCATTTGGGTTACAAGAGGTGGAGAAAAATCAAGAGAATTAGGGAATTGGTTTGAAGAGAATGGTTTCAAGGAAAGGACTAAAGGGAGAGGCCTCATAATTCAGGGTTGGGCACCGCAAGTAGTAATACTATCACATTCAGCAATTGGAGGGTTCCTAACTCATTGTGGTTGGAATTCAATACTAGAAGGGATATCTGCCGGCTTGCCAATGGTTACATGGCCGCTTTTTGGAGACCAGTTTTGTAACGAGAAGTTAGTTGTTGAAGTGTTGAAGATTGGTGTAAAGGTTGGATCAGAGGTTACTCTAAGGTGGGGAGAGGAAGAGAAATTTGGAGTGTTGGTGAAGAAGGAAAAAGTAAAGAATGCTGTAGACAGGCTTATGAATGAAGGAGAGGAAGGTGAAGAGAGAAGAAAAAGAGCTCAGGAGCTTAGCAAGATGGCAAACAAGGCAGTGGAAGAAGAGGGCTCCTCTTATCTCAACATGAAATTGCTTATTGAAGATATCAGGCAACTGGCATTTGTTGAGTAACCAGCATAATATTATTTGCATGCTAGAACACAGAAACTCTGAATTTTATTTTATTTTGTCATTTAGCAGAAGTTTTCTTTGCTTAGCTGTTAGTATCATAATCATATTAGCTTTGGATGGTAAAGCAGCTTTGCAAGAGTGCATAATAAATATGTGTAACCTTCTTTTAATTTAAAGTTAAAAAGGATTGAAGATATTTTTTCTTTCTTTTTTGTTTTCCTATGGATTAACTTCGTACAGTTTTTCGTATATTAACGAACCTGAGGATCTAATTTGTGGTTTAGAGGCAAAGATAGAGGTGCATTTTCTACGTACTAAGAAACCCAATTTGGATCTCATCCTCTTCCACTTTCAGGACTTGACAGTTCAATGTTTTTGTTTTGTTTCACTGTTTCTGGCTCTTCGGCTCCTGCCGCTGTTTTGCATCAACTCTGCTATTGTGTTTCTACTTTTTACCCTGCTGTTGGTTTATTGACCGATCCATATTGAACTTCTGTGGGTTTGCTTTGTCTCTGCTATTCCATCCAGTTTAGATCTTGAAAATACCTGGAAGTTGTTCTTCTCTTTACAATTCTTTATTTTAATCCGGGTTTCGCAGCCTAGTTTTCACTCTGGCGTCTGGAGTCTGGACTGCTTTTTTTTTTTTTTTTTTTGACTAATCTGGTTTGTATCAGTGAAATTCTCGACCATTACAAATAAAAAATACAGGTTTATGAAAACTCATTCCAACAAGTTTAATATAATTGATTGAGAAACATGAGGTCATGTTTGCTTTTAGTATTAAAATTCTAAGGAACGAAAATTCCAACACTCCAAGTAACATGGTTGACGGAGAAAACATATTTAAGGTTTTCGTTTGCAGCAAGGGTCAATAATTGGAAGAAGTCTAGAATTGACATCGAAAAGATGTTACAACAATCTAAATTGAAAGGATGTTTAATTTTAGTGAATGAATCTATAAAATTGATAATAAAAAAAAACATTATTCTCGACTTGACAGTTCATTTTTTAAAATCTGATTGTAAATTTACATAGAAAAATGATAAAACCAAGCGATGAATTATTTGATGTGTCACTGTTAAAAAAAAAATCACATATTTTAGATATATTGAAGAATTGTGATCAATTTTAAAATGAGACATAATCAATCAAAAATTAATATAAACTAAAAGATGATAAATTATTAATTACTAAATCCATATAATTTAGACTATTTTTCTACTAAATATTAATCTATTGGTAGCGTTGATTTTTTATTTTTTAAAAAATCGGTGTTATATCACTTCACTTCAGTGTCATCATCATAAAATTTTGAAAACTATATATCTTAAATTGATTAATGACTAATTATCAAATCTCTATCATTGTAAATTTTTTTGATAACTTATCGTATTTTTTATAAAATTGTATGGAGAATCATTATCTTTACCACTAATTGTTACTTATGATAATATTTTTTCAAAAAAAGTTATGGAAAATGATCATCATTTTTTTGAAAGGTTGTGTGAAAAAATTGAAAACTAATCATTAGTGATTGGGAGAAATTGATTTTGATAAAATAATAAAAATGGAAAAACAAAAGCATATTAAAAGAAAGAAATTCAGACAAAAATGCTCGTCAGTCCTACGCACATGGCCTTGGAGGAGGCTTTTGATATGATCGTCTCTTTTAAATATAAATTAAGAAAAGAAAAAAAATTGTAAAAATTGTGTAATATTAAAACATGATAATAAGGACAAATATAATTAAATTATAAAATGTATAAATTGCCTTCTTTAAAATGCAATTAGACACATAATTTTTGTTTTCTATTCAAACGATCTATGATCACAAAATATTATTATAGTCGTATAGATTTAATTGAAATTTTTTTTTCTATTTTAAAAAAACAAGTAATAATAATAGAATTGGAGAAAAAAATAATGAAGAAATTATTTTACTATAAAATAAAGTGAATACAAATGATAAGAATTTCAAACAATTCTCTCAACCTTTATAGAATATATCGCTCAACTTATGAACAATTAATCTTATTTATAGGTTTTACGATTAGGAAGAGAATTGAAAAGAATTAGAAAAAGTTCATGAAAAGTTGCACCAACCTTTCAATTCTTGTATCATCATACATGATAATGGTGAATTAAATCCCATTAAACAATATGATTTGTAGTGGAAATAAGAATGTGCATGGATATTCATTATTTTATAATACTCCCTCTAGAATATCTATTATATAAGGAACATACCTTGTTAAAACCTTACTAGGAAAAAACCTAACGGGAAAAAAATGCTAGTAAAGAAAAAAAAGAACAATATTTCTTGTACATATTAATTTCCATATTGAGCTCCCCTGTTGAAAGCTTTGTTTAAGATTTCTAAGATGATGCATTCCAATCTTATAAATTATTTTCTTAAAAGTTGTGATAGGTAATGCTTTAATGAACAAATTTGTTGGATTATCACTTTGTTGTATCCTTCATTTGATTGAGTTATGCAAACCACATTATCTTGATATAATATTATTGCAACTTCCTTTGCTAGTGAATAAATCACATGTCTCTAGGATATGATAAGTCATTGATATGAACCAAATACATTCTTGACTTGCCTTATGAATTGTCGATATTTTGCATAGTTTGAGATGTAATAGCTATAGTTACTTCGTAGAATGCTATGATATAGTTGTTTGACCATATGTAAATACATAACCATATTATCTTGAGATTTGTATGGATTAGATTAATAACTTATATTTGCATAGCCAATTAAACATGACTTTGATTTATTTGATTAAAATAAATACCATGTCAATTTTTCTTTGGAGATAATGTAGGAAATGTTTAATTCCATTCCAATGATTCTATATTGTAGCAGAATTATATCTTGCTAATAAATTTAGAGAAAAAGCTATATTAGGTCGAATATTATTAGCAAAATATATTAATACATCAATTGCACTAAGATATGATACTTTAAGATCAAGTAGTTATTCATTATCTTTTCAAAGTCGAAAAGATCCTTTTGGTTATTAAGTGAATGATCTACCATTAGGCTAGTCAATGAATGACTTTATCCATAGACGTGTTGTAGAACTTTTTCATATAATTCGGGTGATAAAAAAAATATCATTCTTTAAGTGCTCGAATTGCGAGTCGAGAAAAATTTTATTATCCTAAAGTCTTCATATCAAATTCTCTTTTTGGATAACTTATGACATTTGGAATCTCTTTAAGAGTTCCAATAATATTTAAATCATCAACATATACAAGCAATTATCACAAATCTTTTCGGATTTCATTCTAAAAATACATGAAAAATAGGGCTATTTTTATAATTTTCTTTCAATAAATATTCATTGAGACGATTATACCATATGTCATGGGTTAGTAGTCAAGAGTAGATATTGAAAAATAAAAAAAATATAGCATAAATTGAATTTCTAAAAATAAAATAATAAAAAATATTAAAATAATTCTTATAGAGATATCTATAATTTAATTTAATTCATTTTTCAAGAATTTGTATTACATGCTTCTAGCATTTTAACTCCTTCTAGGACTTTTATATAGATATCATTTTAAGTGAATAAATAAACTATCATCACATTCATTAAATGCATGTATATGAAGTTTTTCATATATTTTGTCGAGCTAACGAGATAACGAAATGTAATTCCATCCATTATAGAAGAATGTGTCTTCTTATAGTCAATGTCGGGTCTTTGCGAAAATCACCGTGTTACAAGTCTTGCTTTATATCTTACAATCTCATCTTTCTTTTTTTTGTTTTCGTATAAATATCATTTGTATCCAACTACCTTAACGACTTCGGATGTTTTGACTATGGGTTCAAAAAAGACTCATTGACTATGGGTTCAAAAAAGACTCATTTTATAAGAGAATATAATTTTATCTAGATTGATCTTTTAATTTAGATCAATCATCTCTATGTTGACATTCTTCAATAGATTTAGGCTTACGATGCTTATTTTTATTCAAAATATCAATTGTAACATTAGATATAAAAATATTATTAATAAATATGTCTTTTCGATCATATTTTCTCCCCGTATTGACATAATTTATCAAAATTCTTAATTTTTCTTAAGCATTTGGACTTTTCTAGGGGTCTATTATCAAAAATATTTTGGATTATTTTGTAAATAATTACATCATTTTTATTTTTTATTTTTGGATTATTTACTCTTTTCTCATAGAGATTTTTGTCTTTAAAACCAATCGGTCTTTCACGCTTCGGTGTGCTTTAGATTTATTTTTTATAACATTAATAGACTCGTCCTTTTGGGACATCAATTCTAATAAGAGAATTCTTAGCTTGGGCATGCATTTTAATTACTCTTTTTGGATCATTTTATAAATATTTACATCATTTATATTTTTTTTGGATTATTTACTTTTTTCTCATAGAGATTTTTGTCTTTAAAACCAATCGATCTTCCACACTTCGAGTGTGCTTTAGATTTATTTTTTTATAACATTAATAGACTATCATTTTGGGACATCAATTCTAATAAGAGCATTCTTAGCTTGGGCATGCATTTTAATTACTCTTTTTGGATATGAGAATGCATTTGACGGTTGGTTTGTAAGATTCTCTAGATGAATTATCTTTTGAACTTCTAATTCGTATTACTTTGTACGAGGATCAAGATGATGTAAAATGGAGTACTCTATGTAATATCTTTTTTCAACATTTTTAACTCGCTTATTTTTCTTATTCTTTTCTCCTAATATTGGAATAACCATTTTATCAAAATGACGGACGATAAATCGATCCGTAAAAATATCTCATGTCAATGGTTCAAGAAATTTAATTATTAAAGGGAATTCATATCCAATATGTATTTTCAATCTCTTTTGAAGGTTCATTTTAGTTCGTTTGTGGAGGAGTAATAGGAAATTATACTACACAATAAAAAATTCTCCGATGAAAAATATTTGATTCATGACTAGAAACCAATTAAAAATGAAATAATTTA